GTTACATAGCAATTGCTAATGATTATGAAGAAGTTGGAACATCAGGATAATATTGTAAAAGATTTTAATATATTAGGCTGATTTTTTTTAAAAAAACATGTATATATGAAAATAATCAAGCCACACATGGAATAAGTTTTATTACGTAAATTCATTATTTGTACTCTTTTAATGTTTACATATTTTAATTGGTTGCATAGCAAAAATAAAGTTAACAAAAGAGGAATTGTAGACTATAAACATACTTCATCCATTAGCATCAGCCTCTCTATAGAAGGAGTGTTCCTGATTTAGATCACCTGGTTTATAACAATAATATATGTTTGTTGTTATCCAAGGAGTGCTCTTAAGTGAACTTTTACTGCTCAATGAGCTATGAAAATATTTACATACCTCCTATAAGTATAAACTAATCAGAGGTAAATACCCGGAATTAGTCAATTATTGCCAATTACAATTATATTGCTCATTGGTTCATAATTCTAGAGAAGAGATAAGGTATAAACCAGGTATGTGAAGTAATGAGAAATTGGATGTTAGTCAAACAATCTATAATTAAAGTAGCATAAATTGACTTAAAAAGAATAGATGTGGTGATTATCTCTTGTCCTATGAACAGAATGAAATTCATCTTATGCTAAGCAATCATTTTTCTGATGAAAAGCACTTTCCTCTAGAGATAATCTGTTGAGGGACTCAACAGCAAATAGAGTGAAACAAGCAATGGACAGGATCAGAGTCATGAATGGAGGTAACGTTAAAAAAAACCTTCCCCCCTCCTTCTATTACTCTTCAGTTTCTCTTTCTAAATCACACATTGGGATGAAGGAACCAAGATCTTAATTAATCTTTTGCAGTTAGCTTTTGAATTTGGGCCAAAGTCCCTGTGGATTGAGGTCAAGGACGCAGAGTGCCCACTCCAACTTTGTCTTTTTTATCTTATAAAGTCTGCCCTGGACAATTATATAACCCTCTAAATGTGATTAGCATTATTTTCTGCCAAGAGCAGTGGTCCCTGCTGTTTGGGGCACCAGGGACCGGTTCTGTGGAGAGAGATTTGTTCATAGACTGGAGGGAGTATGGTTTCGTGAATTGCCCACATCCTGCAGGTGGAGTTTCGCTTGTTTGCATGGCCTGTTTTCTGGCATGCTGCAGCCTGGTACCAGGCCAAGGACCAGGGGTTGGGGGCCCCTGGCCTAGACCATTGGGTTGACCTGTTCCCAAATATATAAAGGGGGAAAGATAAGTCCATGGTGTCTTTGGCTCATGGATTGTCCATTTTTGTTTTAGAAGACAGATATCTTGTCATCCTGACTTAGAAGAAGTATGCCTTGTGTACCTCACATGGGAGGAAATTCATTATTCCAGATAGAGCTTGTGTTGTCATATACCTTTTTCTGTATTAGTATCCTATATTATATAGTAGAATTATGCATATAAACATATACATGAGTATAGTGAGTAAACAACTAGATTAAAAGACTTCATCGTTTCATAATGACGAACTAACTATAACTGCACCAATAAAATTCTTGTCAAAACAGATAGGGAAAAATCCAATTTCATTTCCCCATTTTTCCAATCTTCTGATTTCTGCAATCAAAAGGTTCATTTTCATTTCCCCTAGTACAAATTTTTTCTAAATATATGCATTTTGTGAAAGTTATGCTCTATAATATAATACACTTCTTCATCACACTTTTAATACACACCTTGCATGCACATTTAGTAATTAAACGTTTTTTTTTAAAAAAATATTCTGAGATTGCTGAAACTCAGGATATGAAGTAAAATGTTGAAAGCTGGATACTAAGTCATATATTGGTCAAAATGGAAAATTTATTAACATCATATTAGCATATCTTTCTTTTTTTTTTGTCCTTAAGATAATACAACACACTGGCTATATATTCATAACAATTGAATGCCATTCTTCCATTCTATTTCCATTTAGTGGAAGAGAAGAAGTGGGAGAAGGTTAAATCAAGAAAATGTAGGAGACGGTTAAATGTTCTCCAATCTTAAACTATATCCCCAATATAACCCCAAATTGTACACATTAAGAAGATATTTAGCTATATTTAATCTGTTGTTCATAAAACAAAAAGCAAGATCAATTATCTCTCCCCTTCAATGTGGCTGTGTAGAGTAGATATCCTAATTTTGTGGATACAGAATTATAGACAATAGACTATATGTTATAGTTGTTTTAAGTTAATGAAGTTAATAAAGTTGTTACCATTCAGTTCCTTATGTCACTGTCTGTATCTTTTCTACCTACAGAAAATCCCTACCTTGAACCTGGCATCTGACCAGATATTTATCAGCAAACCATAATGAAGCAAAGAGTCTTTCTCTGCACTTACATGCGAAGAAGAAAGAAAAAGTTACCTAGGAAGTATAATTTGGAGCTGAAAATTACTAAAAATTATCCCGAATGTAAGAAGAGCCTGTTGTTTCAAACCAGAATCTCATCAATGAAGCCTATAGGCAGCTTTAAAAGCATTTTAAGTAACATTCTGTCTCTCATACAGAATGTAATATACAGTTATCATAGCCCTATTATGTTTGTCCAATCCTGTTTTAAAATGATGCATGCAAACCCAAAGAGATGTATGGACATCAATTCTTAAATTAATAGGGTAATATGCATAGTGGACATTGTGTTTTGTCCATCCTGAATCCCTATTTTTGATAAATGAAAATCACAGGCTTCTCTCTTTCTCCATCATATAGTCAAGTAATTCTTCTGCCACAAACATTGTCAACAGTTTGTGTTGGCTCTGAAAATATGCATGTAAGACTAAAGGGGATACCCAGTATTGAATGGCCCGTCATTTTTATTTATTTTCCTCTTACATTTATATCCTGCCATTTCAATCAAGAACTCAAATGATACGCATAATGCTTCCTACTATTTCCTTTATAAATCTGTGATATTGGTTGCGCTAAAGATTGTGACTTCCCATAGGTAATCTAGAGCAGTGGTCTCCATCCTTGGCAACTTTAAGACCTGTGGACTTCAACTCCCAGAGTTCCTCAGCCAGCTCAACTCTGAGAGTTGAAGTCCACAGGTCTTAAAGTTGCCAAGGTTGGAGACCACTGATCTAGAGCATTTCCAAGACTGACAGTCAATTAGACTCTCAGTCACAGTCAAAGACCTTAACCACCAAGACCACACTGTTCCCTCCACTCTGAAGATTATGGTCTTTATGAAATCCAGCAGATCTGATTTTAATTAGGGCATAAATTATATGGAAAACGCAAGGACCCCTACCTTTGGCTTTATGATGGAAGAAAGCTTCCATTGCTAGCATATTATTGAGAAATATGGTAATTTATTAATAAACACTCAATAATTAAGGGATGTGGTGGCTCAGTGGCTAAAACACTGAGCTTGTCGATCAGAAAGGTCAACAGTTCAGCGGTTCGAATCCCTAGTGTCGAGTAAGGAGTGTGTTTAGACAATGACCATTAAGGCATCTTCAGACCGTGCTGGTTCCTTGGCTTTGAAAAGGAGGTGAGCACCCCCTAGAGTCGGGAACGACTAGCACATATGTGGAAGGAAATTAGTTGCATTAGTTGCATTCAACATTGACTACTCTGAGCTCACGTTTTTAAAAGTTTAGCAGTACCTCCTAGAAGCTGTTGCTCGCTTCTCCCTGGACAGAGTTAGGAACTTCAAGCACAGAATTGCTTATAAATCCTGCTTCACGAGCAAACCATCCTCAGGAAGAGTTTCTCCCCCCCCCCTTTCCCCCGCTTTCTCTCCCATCGGAAGGTGGCACGGGGGCATCTTGCCTGCCAAAGGTTACTTGAGTGATCTGCTTTAAATCGATTTCCCTGGCTTCGGGGCGAAATTTATGAGCCTC